AAAACTTGGGGGAGAGAGAGAGAAGCCACGTGACCAGTGCGGGGAAGCCTGCTCTGCAAACACGCCATTCTGGCGCCAGCACACCTTATTAAACAGGCGTGTCCCCTCTGTCGTTGCCTGAGTGCCTGTTCCCCCAGATTCGCTTCGTTCTTCTGTGGTCTTCTCCTGATCCACTGATGCATGACTCGCTCAATTGATCCCAACTCTCAACCTTCACTCATAGGCTAACAACTCAAGTCACGCCATGTCCTCATTTCGCCGGTTAGCAACAGGTCCGCCATGGCATGCTCTATGAGACCAGCGCCAGTCAACGCGTACCATTCTTATGAATGAGGGCAAATCAGCTCAGAACGAGTGCATTTCCAACCTTGGGAGTCTGGATATGGCCAATTTATCAACGCTTTCATTGTCTTTCCAGATCTTGCAACGCATATGAATACACCTACGGCCACCCGTTTCGAATGTAACCGTCGGTCAGATAGTCAAACACTTGTCGTCGCTGCGAGGTCAACAGTCACGAACGATAGATTCTCTAGCTCACTTCTTAGTCCAACTGGACAATTGCAAACACATTATTTCTACATGTTACCTTAATGTTCTCACTATCTATGCAGCACCATAATTGCTAGCAGTATTATGTCTTATCTTACTTGACTTTCTCTTGGCACTCAATTATTCTAAAGCATAATACCCGACACTACGATACCGGGATCATGGCAGCACCTGAGGTCCCGCATTTTTAGTCCCGAGCTGGCAACTTTGCTGTGGATTCCAATACCGGAACGCATCGGCAATCAATGCGATTAAGATATAGTCATACGAAATATGACTGAGAGTTCCGAGGACTACCACGCTGGCTCAGTATCGGCCATGATGACCTCAATATCGGCTGTAGCCGCCCGAACGCCACCATTTCACCTTCACCAGGCACCACTACCTTGCTCAACAATAAGTACAACCAATCAAGATCATCGGATTTGGGTTTCTTCACGGAGGCCTGGTCAGCATGCTAATTCTCTTGGGCCCACTAGCCTATTGAATATTCTTGATCGCTGATGGAGAGATTGGTCGGTCGAGTTCTTTCTGGACTCGAATATCAAGCATGTCGATTGTTCGTAGTGGTTGATCTAGATGGGCACATTAATACCATTGCTAACAGGGCGAATCCTAGCCGGTTCAGTCGTCCATTTAAAGCAAGGGCAACTGTGGTCAAGGTGGCCCGTTAAATGGGCAGCGAATATCAGCAATTTCCTTGGGACCAGGTGGTCGTCTTATGCGCATGCTTGGCTCGGGACTGTCAAACTGTCGACGAGTATCGAGTTCTATCGCTGTTCGAGCAAACCACTACCTCGAGCAGATGGATAGTGGCCAACTGACCAGTATCGTCCCCAGGTTTCCATCCGAAGACACATTGGATCATCCATCTCTCATTGCTACATCATCTGTACCCAGCACCAGTCCCACCTGGTAGCAATTGGTTCTACTGATTGGAGCGTGCAGCAAACACTGGGTGAAGAGGTCACCGCTACAAGATATCATGTGGGCCAAAAGTGGGCAGACTATCGTCTAGGACCTCATCCGTTAAGAAGCAGTATCCTTGCCTAACCCGGTTGTGTGAAAAAGTCGCTCACGGAAATTATGCAATACCTCAGGCATGAACACTCGTCGAGGTCCTATATCGGCTAATTCGCCTTTATTTTTGAAGAATGCATTGAGTAGGGATTCCCTCGTTGGTACAACCATTACGCATCATATCCACGTTTCATATCGAACGCCCGGCTATACTTATGCCGCTTTTGTGCAGAACAGAGAACAAGAAAATTTGTGCTTCCAGCCCGATGACGGTGACGGTTGGTGGTATGGTATTTTACACGTTGCTCGCTGTGAAAAGGCGACTCAACACCTTCAGGGGATGTTTCCTTCTTCCATCGATACACACATGCCTGAAGGCCATGTACTGAAGCCCCTCTCACGAGACGGTTTCATGCTGCCGTCTATGCCTATCCCCCAGTCTATAACCGTCTATGATTCTCTATGGTGGTTTTTCCATGACGTATCGAGACGCGATGTCATACTGACAAGGCAGTTGGATTTCTCGAATCTTTCCTCTCACATACCCCAGGGTGTGGCGTGAGCCTTCGTCTCCATAATTGCCGATATTAAATTGTTTAGGTCTGATGGACAACGGTTAGTGCCTGGCTACATGAACAAGATTATCCTGGAGGATACGTACGAATTTGGCCATGAGGGCAACCATGAGATCGAAAAGACCGATGGCTTCGACGAAGGCAAAACCCAGAATGGCATACGAGAACAGTTGGCCACGGAGAGCAGGGTTACGGGCAACACCATTGAGCAGGGCAGCGAAGACGAGACCGATACCGATACCAGCACCAGTCAGACCAATAGCGGCGGAACCCATACCCAAGTTCTTGGAGACTTCAACCATAGCCTGGGCAATCTCAGAGGAGTAGGCACGGCGCTGGAATGCCTGACGGGTAGTGGCAGTCAGGATCTTGGAGGCCTGTTGCCGCTTAACAGCCTGGAAGGGCGTAGCATTGCCTATACAAATGCCATGGTTAGTTGGTATCCCGTCCAATTGCAACTGGCTGCTGGTTCTTCGACAAGCCTGACGAGCTCGACGACCAATTCCGAATTGCCTCCCCGCAAGAACATACTTGTGATGGTGCGCTTAGCAGCAGTGCTGGCGACGGAAGCCCGAACGGCAGGGCGTGCAACCTTGGTGCCGATAGAGGCAAAGGCGCGCGAGGCAACAAGGCGGGCAGAAGCCATTGTGAGAGGTGAGTGTGTGATTGGTGATGAGGATGGGAAGAGTTAGACGACGAAAGGCCGGGGGAGTGAGCTGATGGAAGAAGACGACAAGAGCTTGAGGGAAAAGGGAAGAAGCTCGTTAACGTGTGTGTGGTGGGAGGAGAAAACTTTGCTGGAGTGCTAGGGAAACGACCGAACAGTTGTTCCGGAGCTGGGCATGGACCACCAACAGACAGGTAATGAAAAGGAAGGCACTGTGTCTAAGGGGACCAGTGTGGACTGTAGAGGTAAATGGAACCCACATGGTGTCGACAACAATTGAGGTTGTGGGCGACCTATTGCTTCGCGGGTACTTACAGGCACCGACAGTGCTGAACGCTACCTAAAGGAGACAAGGCTGACGGGTTACTACACTAGGTATTGTCGACTTACAGGGATAAGCATCGGGGTTTTTCGGGTGCGGCACTGTATTGCACGCAACCTCGTCATCCTTGGCAGCGAAGCTTTGCGGCTTTTTCTCGCCAATTTTAGCCAGCGATCATCAATCGATAGCCACAGCAGGCACTTGTCTCACTGTCGGAAGTATCGATTCACTATTACTATCGTCATGTCACCTATGAAGTATAAATGTTCACGCCTCCGAGCCCAGCTAGAAGACAAGCAACTCCAATGTTCCCAGGAAGATTCTCTCATATGAGATAGCAAACAACAGACGGTGTACAGAGGATACAGTGATATGAACCTCCACCGACTTAATCTGACCCCCCACTTAGTCCTGGCTCGCGGGAAACACATGGACTTCAGCTAGCATCGGAGTGAGCTTATAGGTAGCAGTGAGTGGAGCTTGTTCGAGAGGTGCATGACTGGTAACAATGCGCACACATTGCAGAATGTGAGAGCGATAACATAAAAGGAGGGCACATCCTCCCAGCAGGTTTTGACTACCTACTTCTTTGTCTGGCTTCTCCAAGGCCAAATCAATTACGTTGCGAGTTCCTGTACACAACAATACCTACACTACAATGCCGACCGCAAGTCAGCCTCTTTCCTGCCCTGATCACCAAGCCCGGTCGACCCTGCAAATCGCCGGCATTCCGTATGTGGGTTATTTCAGGAAATGGCGCATGCAGCCAATAGCAACGTGGCCCTTGTTCTGGATTTCGGGTTACCCTTGGTCGGCAATCTGCTCTTATTTGACGTGCAGTGCATCTGTACCGGTGTACACACTACACCGCAGCAAGGATAGCGCTCTTGGCCAACATGAGAGATAAGGACAGAGAATCCCAGGATGATTCAAGTATCTCCTGCTTCTCAACTGCACAGAAGAGCTAGAGGAACAGAAAACTCACGATATTCCCAAATATTCTGGGAATTTTATCGGAATGTGCGTAGGTAAGTGTCTCCATGAATCCACAACGACGCCCAAGGAGGTAGGTGAAGAAGCCAAGTTTTCAATCCGGCTGCGGGATCCTAATATAGGCGAGTCATGGGTATTTGAGCCTCAAATACCACCTCATGCATAGAGATGCAGCTCGCACAAAGCATACCTGTACATGTATGTTGCTGTTTATCTCGCATTGGGAGTATAGAGCAACGAGCAAGTAAAACTAGGTTCAAATACACCTTATCAGTAAGCTGCATTAGAACCTATAGAGTGTTGAGGATATCACGAAATGTGCATCGCGCATCGTAGTTGCTACGCGCTCCGCCGTGAGATGAAAATTTTTTCGTCGCAGCTGACGTGAAATGACGGTAAGATCCGGGCTGCATGCCGAGCTAGGGGGGTGGTAATAACATGAGGATCTGAGGATCTCCCTAGCACATCCGTGGGATCATTTTAAGATGCTATTGGTTGATAGTATCGGAAGCCGGTTTCGTCTCAGCTTAGTGTACTGCAATCTTTTCCTCCTTGTGCTGGATACTTTTCTAGGTTGGGTAAACCACACAAGAAGCTCGGGCCATACATTCAAGTTCTGCATCTGTAGCTATTTAGCGCTGCCTTATCTATTGCATCGCGGCTAGACTTGATGTTGAACGTAAAAAAGAAGCTGGGTATACTTACTTCGTACATGATGCAGTAGCCGGGATAATTGCTACTAGGTTTCAGTGCATGTAGGTACTTCGTATTTCGTGCATTAGGCGAACAAACCAAACAGCTCTCTCTCTCTGCCTAATTACGCAGAGACAGCATTTTATAGCCAACGAGCGCAAAATGGAAAAAAGAAAGTAGTTCAGCACGGGACTCGAACCCGCAATCTTCAGTAAATTCCGTTCCGGAAACTGACGCGTTGCCATTACGCTAACCGAACCTGTGTAATTTTCGTAGTGATCCTGATTGAAAGAACAGGCCTGCTCAATGGACTCTATATTACTATGCCAAGTCAAAATGTACTAACAGCTATGGCCGGGTCGTTGCCAGGAGAGTTTGCTGTTAGGCGGCGGCATATTTAAAAAGTCGATAACTTATTTAGTACCAGAGTACTTCGTATTGATGTAAGTTTGTTCAATGTTTCTGAACAATAAGACGATGAATGCGCGTGGTCAAGCAGAATAACTAGATCAGGCGTAATTTTATGACAGCTTCTACCAATCTCTACCTACTTACTTCGGGACACGAAAAGCAGTTTTTACGCCCCTGCGAAGCATAAACAAGAGATTCAAATTTATACACCACTTACTTGGCCAAACTATCGGCTTGATCATCGCATCATGATGACAATTTGTTAGATGGCGAACTTCAGCAGTTTATTACTAGACAGCGAGCAACAGCTATCATTTGCGAATCCTTGTAACGTTCGAACGTTCGACCTGTAGACTTTAAAGGATCAGGTAAAAGGAACGGTGAGTAGTGCTTGAAAGATAGATGCTCCGAGCTCATTGTAGGATTTTACTATACTTAGGTAAGGTCTTAGAGAGTTGTGCAATTGTGACGCGAAAGAGGCATATGGCTGCGAGGGACTACACTCTCTACAGCCAAAGTAGAAATTATAATCAAACCACGCGTTTGGCCAGAGTTGTGATCATACAGTTATCGACCAGCACAGGATATGAGTGTATAAATTCTAGTGTAGGCTGCCAACGGAGAGAATATTCGTATCCCGGACCGTAAACCATATGAGGTACCCTTATTTACCATAAGTGATATATGCTGACTTGTGTGGTCTGAATGGCGATATCATAGTCCGATCTCGCAGGATTCCTTTCTTAGCCGAATACTGCTCTCGCTCAACCTGTCTTCATATCTTAATATACTCTACACACCGCATGAATGGGATATCCTATATCAATCAAATTCAAAGACCGCGACATTTCTCCTTTCCTAGAGCCATCGCCGCTTACGTGCCAACATGACCATAACCCTGATAGTTCATCATACCTATGCAATCGCCCTTCCCAGTCCAATCCCTTAAGTATACCATGCCACCACCCCCAACTTCACCCTCTCACTGGCTGTACCAAAAGCGAGTGAACTCCTCCAAATTATACCGCGAGTCCTCGTCGACGAACTCATGCGGCGGCCGCAGCGTGACCTTGTCGCCGTGGATCTCGGCTATCTCGCCATTCAGAGAGGCGTCTGTCATCAGCTTCTCCACGCCCGCGATTAGGGTGCTGGGCGGGGTGATGACCATGGTCTTTATGAGCAGGTTATTGCTACCGCCGCCGATGTTCGTTTCTGTTTTTGGACGAGGGTTAGTTGATTATATCTGCCGGAATAGAACACTCTTAATCATAGTACAGGCTGAGAAAGAAAGGAACGGATTACTCTCTCATTCTCTCTCTGCGAATGCAATCATGCTGATGATAATCACTCGGACAAAGAGAAAAATAAGACACGCAGAAGAAGAAATAGATGGCAACTCACCCAGAACAGCCGGCGCCAGCGCATTGATGCGGATACCGATCTCCGGACGGGCATACGCCGGCCCAAGCGAGCGCACGAGGCCGACAACGGCGTATTTCGACGTCGCATATAGAGGCTGCACAGCTAACGGGTACAATCCCGCGTTGGACGCCGTGCAGATGATGTTGCCGCGGTGACCGGTCGTCGCGTCCACGACGTTCCGCCGCATGTAGTACAGCGCCAGCTTCACGGCTATAGTCGTCCGGTCTTGTTAGCTAGTACGTATAAGGGGAGCAAAGGGGTTTGAAAGGGGGTTGGAAATAGGAGAAATAGTCGCAAATACGCACAATACACAACCCCCATCAGATTAACATCCAAAACCTTCAACCGCGGCTCATCCGGCTCTCCCAACTCCTCCCCATTCCCATCCTTATCCCCATCACCCCCTCTCGTTGGAACCATCCAACTATCCCAGCCCTCCGCAATCCCCGCATTCGCGATAACAACATCAATACGTCCGTGCTGTTCATACACGGCTTTAAACGCCGCGGCCTGCGCGTTCCAGGACGTGACGTCGCAGACGCGGTACTGCGTCCCTTGCCCGATTTCCGCGGCCACTGCGCTGCCCTTGGCTTCGTCGGCTATGTCGAGGATCGTCACGAGAGCGTTACGCGCGCTCGCGAAGTGTGTGCCCATCAGCTTCCCTAGGCCGCTGGCGCCCCCGGTTATGATGACTACGCTGCGGTGAGGGGGGTTGGGTTCGGGCATTTTGTATAGCTTGGGGGAGAGGAGAGGAGAGGAGTATATGTATAAATAGGTTGGGATAGCTGGACAGTCAAGTGGTAAGGTAAGTCGATAGACAGTGTCGAGGTAGAATTAATTGAGCCGTCGGCAGAAGATGAAGACAAAAAATAGGAATAAAAGAGTATGTGGCCTTCGCGAAATGAGACGGCAATGCAAATACTATTCGATCGTGAGAGCCTAGATTCGGATATACCATCACTCTTATAAAGTGATTCGTCAAGTTTCGCATGGGCTACAGATCACATATAGCTCCATCATATATATCTCAAGATAGTCCGGGACATTATCCGCAGTTCATAGCAGCAGCAGCAGCGGAGACCGGCTGTCCCACGTGTGTACCCTCGGGGTCGTGCGGGCATCGATCCATGGCCTCGGCATATCTATCAGTCGGCCGATTAATCACCAGATACTAGTCGATACACGAACTAGATATCTCATAGTCTATAGTTCCTGACTAAGGCCAACACGCATCGCTTACTTATACCCATACATAAGTTTGGGTAAGTGTCTATCTACAACTGGAGTTGTATTTGTGCCTCCTCGCCAGCTAGTGCGGTATGTTCAACTACTCCCAACCGGAGTAGATTAGAACAAGATGTAGGGAGACCACAGTACAACAAACGCAAGCTACATTTATGTTTTATTCCTGGTTCGTTTAAGCTGTATTTATGACCACGATGATATCAACTCTATGATACCTACCGCAATGCAGACAGACGGCTCAGTGCTCGCTGACTGACGCTCCCTCCACCCCTCCCCCGCTCTTTGACCTGCGGACGGCATTCGACCCGGGCGCATACCCCGCGGGGTAGACACTTAGGTATTTAATGCAACCTTACCCGAGCCGGGATACTGACTGTCCTTAGTCAGGTCGGAGGTAGAACGTACCGTAACTGGAGACACTCCGACCTGAATGTATATAGATAGATAAGCAGCTACCTAGATCGATAGAAATGGATCAAGTAAGCGGATATTTGCCAATAGCGCTGTGAGATTTTGAGAATCGAAATACTCCGTACGCACAACCCATTTAAAACAACAACAAAAAAAAAAAAAACGGTTGAAAACGCAAAAATGAAAACATACAACACCAGGGATTCGCTGGTCGTCACCGACCCAACTACTAATCCGGCTGTATCGAGCTTAGCTATGGGGGAGCGGACGGGACCCCGCGTTCTCTCGATCATATGGTCGTATGTGCTAGACAAGCTTCTCAAATGGGCATATATGCTGGGCCATGGGGACGGTTTTGTTGTTTCACTTAGCTAGGTTACTAGGTACTGTATGTCCAACACCGTGGCTCTATTCTGCTCGGCATGGTTGGTGGTAACTCTCTAGGTTAGTAAATCCCCACCCCTTACCTAGCATATTCCTCTTCCATGATGGCGAAGTTCGATATAAAGGAAGTCTCTGGCTGACTAGCTAACCTAGCTAGCTAGTAACTCTGAGCGTTGTTGTTGTTCAGGCATATAGATATTAGATAGGGCTATGTAAGTACGTACGTAGGTTAGGTTTGTACTCAATGCATGTAATCTCATCAAGCACTATACTAGAGATGTAGATTCTCTTTTATCCCGACCTAATTCTCCCCAAAGCAGTCTCACCCGACCCAACTAAGTTTATCTATTTCGTAGTTAGTTGTAGTCATTTGAGTGCCTGTCTCAACTATCCTTGACATCGTAGACAGTATCGCGCGCCATGACAACCCGGCTTTTTGAAATCAATAAAACGCATACAGAGCACACTTAAACGGAACAGTTTGAAAATCAAAGCTCAAAAGTCCATATCAACAGTTATTGAGATGTGAGATGGGATCTGAAGAATTCACAACCAGACTAGGTTGGAGTACTCCTACCTGTTCCATAGGTTGGGTTAGCTACGCATACACGTATGTCCTCGCCTGAGCCCTGCCAAAGCTAACGCCCTTTCATTCATTTTCCATCCATCAATTATTTTCGTTCATTCACCCAACGCCTTGCTTGTCTCATTTGTCTTGCTCGCCACACTTAACTAGCTCTCCTTGCCATGCTCACTTTGATGAGCTAGCTCACTGAGCTTATTGAATTTAATGACTTCGTTCATATCAAGAACGTCCCGAAATCTCCCCCATTCCACAATCCCCAAATCCCCGATTTTCAATTCTCCCCTCCCAGCTCACTCCTCCCCCTCACCATCCTCAACCACAGTCCTAACAGCATACCCCTCGGCAAAGCCATCCGGATCACAAGCCCTATCGACCTGGATCCTATTCTCTTTCGCCCAGGCGCGGATGGCCGCTTTATCGATGCGGACTCTGGGCACCAGCTGCGGCCGGGGTTTTGGTTGTTTATTTTCCTTTGAAAGAGCCGGATTACTCGTCGTAGAGGATGTAGGTTCTTTCCCATTCGTCTGAGGATGCGAAATGGAATTTGGATCTGCGCCGACGTCTCCATTAGTATTACCATCGCCTGCGTCCCTAGGCGGACCGAGCCCAGCGTCCTCGACAATGCCCATGTCGCGGAGAACGGCGATGCAGTCCTCTGGGACAATCCACGTCTCTCTCGAGCACTGGTCCACATCGACAATAACAACGGGCTCTTCCTGTTCCTGTTCCTTGATTCTTTTTCTGTCTTTTTTCGCATGTTTAATATTAGCGTGAGCATGAGTCGCATTATTATTATTACT